AGTGCCCCCCAGCTCCTAGGTCCTCGCTACGCCCCTGCTACGGAGTAAAAGAGAAAGACGTGGTAGAAAGGAGTGTTTGTATAATGAGAATAAGATAAAAGAAACCAATGAGAACAAGGTGGACAAGGAAACGAAAGAAACAATCAAAAGACAAAAGAAAGGGTTAGTTAATAGCAAAGCGTTCATTAATACCGTTGGGACTAAGAGTGCCCAATAGGTGAATAAGCCGCATTTTATTGGTCTTGCGACGATCATTGTTGCCGTTAATCAAAGAAAGACCGAAAACAATGAAGTCAGAAAGAGAATGGTTAGCTAGATTGAAATGGCGGGAAACTGGTCAGGTGGGATAATCATTATAATTATTCCATAAGACTATTTAAAAATTAGTCCTTGAGCCCGAATGGGAAAGAGTCAATAGCCCGAAATTGTTTTAGTTAAATCCAACTAGTCAAACAGATATATAGACGCAAACAAGTTTTGAATTAATTAATGTTTTGGTTTTCAAAGCCGGACCTTTTCGCTACTATAGTAGGGTATCTTATAGCTTAGTAGTAGTTCATCCAATCAGAATGCTGCACTGATAGACCACTTGTTGGATTTGACTAATTTAAGTTGCCTTCAATTTTTATTGAGCTCTGAAACATGGCTGATCTTAGTTATAGAGCTGGTGGAAGGAGTTCCCACAATAGGACACGGAGTCCCTTACAAAGGTCAATCTCCGATGGACATAGTAGAAAAATAAAAATAAAAAAAATTGAGGGTCTTGACTCTCTCTCTCTCTTTTTTTTTTTTTATCGCAATGTTTTTTTGTTTTTTTCTAGAATTTTGATTGACTGCTGATTTTTTCTCGTGCAATTTGATTGATCTGGCGGTAACGTGACATTGGCGTGACCGTGTCAATGCCGTGTTCACTCCGTGTTTCGGATATTTGATTGGATGGAGGTTAACTTTTAGCGCAATATGATTGGTCTGACGTATGTCTTCTAGTTGCCGTGTCACGACCATCCACGTTGGTGCTGCAAGCTTTTCACAGTCGATTACTCACCATTTGATCTGTCTGCACCCACTGACTTGTCATTTTCTCTTTCTTGATCTGTTGATTATTTAGAAGCAATTTCACGGCTTTTTCTAACTTCGCTGCATATTCCTTAAGACTCTTGTTTTCTTCCTCAAGCCGTGCAATCCTCGAGTACAACTCGTTTTCGGGCTCCTGAGCTTGATAAAACTCTTCCACTTGTTTAAATTTTTCGTCTATCATTGCTCGCAGCACCTGTTAAATTAGACAGCCATTCAATACCTTATTAGGTCATTTCAGCATTGCCTTATTTGGTCATTTATGATGTCATCGCTTGAAAGTCAAGAATCCTGCTATAGGTTCGGATTGTTTTATGATTTATAATACAATCAACAAAATTACTCGATTCTGATAGTACAGGAGGAGTACAATTAAATCCCAAATTGTACTCTGTAGAGTCCCAATTAATAAAAATAATAATAAAGCAAAAAATAGCACGATATTGATGGGTTACAAGCATTCCCAAGAGAGTCAGTTAGACAAAAGCATAGCGACCATTCTGGTGCAGTTAGCAATGGATGTTACACCTTTTGCTGTTCATTAA